ATCTCTAGTGTCAAGGTTGGATTATGTTATCTGAATAAATATTTATTAAATAAGATTTAATAATTTTTTTAGAAAATCCTCCTCTTTTTTCTTTATTTTTGGTTTTTCGTCTGGTATTTGGGATTTCATCCGACTAATCCGGATTGACCCGCGTCGCACACCTAAAAATGATGAGTGAGTCTCCCAACGAAAGCTGCTGCATATACAAGGTCTCAAACTTGAGATCTTATTTAAGTTGAAACAAACCGCTTACCACTTGATCCAACCCCTCGATAATAAATGCTCCTCTTTTTTTAGTTGTACTGTTTTTATGTACGTTGCGTTTGGTCATTTTTACAATATCTAAATGATTCTCATCTACGAAAAAAAAAAAAAAAAGATTCTCAGGTAGCCTTATTGTTCTAAATAAAAAATATAAATAAATAACGATGGAAACAGATTAAATCTTAATAATCTTCAAAACATCAATTTTTTTACATGAGGAGGTAATGTAATTTCGGAGTTCATTATGTGAATGATTTGTCTTATACGGAAGAGTAAAGGTAAACTTATTTTAAAATAAAGTTGTTGATAATATAATTTAAAAAATGACTCAACTTATAAATAGGTATTATTTTATAAGTTAAGTAAAAAATATAAACTTTTTTAAAAAAATCTAAAAAGTAGTTTTTTTAATATACTAAATAAGTGTAAAGTGTTTATTTAGTTTTAAAATACACAAAATCTAATTAAAGAACACATAATTATAAAAAAAAAAGTTACCAAAAATATTCCACGACAATAAAGTTAAAAAAAAAAAGAAAGAAAAGAAAGATAATATGAAATGTTATCAATAAAATATTAAAAATTGATAAAATAAGTTAATAATTTTGGGGTATGGATTAGTATTCCTAATAGTAAAATAAGGAACGGGGGTTGCATTGCATCATAGATAGATGAATGATTCCACTTAAACTTGTGACTTGAAAATTGAAATATGCTTTATGTCTTATATGCATGCCTAACTTGGTGCCACCTAAGGTGTCCACTCCACACCAAGTTGTCGATAAAACAATTAGGATAGCTTGCGAATTTCCACCACCACCTACGCCCACCCAATCTCTTTGTAGTTTGTGTGTTATGGAAAATGCCAAAAAGTGAAAAACCCCCCTTTTATTTTACCTACATCCTTCGGGAGAGGAAAAGATCATCTCTTTTGCAAGCAATGCCATTTTCCATGTTTTGAGAAAAGACAAGGAATATATATCCAAGATTAGAGGTTAAAACCTCTTTAAGTTAAAGGTGAGAGAAAATTAACCTTGAAGCTTCAAATAGTTTTTTGAATGAAATTTTTGTACATATTCCTAAAAGTTGAAGCAAATGTGAATTGCTAAAGCGGCTGGCGTATTCTACATTTTGCTTTCCGTCCAAAAATGAAAAGGTATAATGGGGCAAAACATCTAGTATTGGATTTGGACTTCTAGCTCTAGCTGGGATTCCAAGGTGGAATTTTTATCTTTTTGGAATAAACCCCCAATATGGTGGTGATTTGTAAAGTGAGAACTCTGAAAAAGTAAGTAAAGCAATTATATCAGCAGCCTCAAAAGTAAGTAAAATCGGCCAGTCATCATAGAATTTCATCATCTATCAAAAGCAGCATCATTTCAATTTTCTAATCAGAAAGTATGTCTAGGCCCAAAAAAATAAATCAGAAAAGGATGAAATCAACTGAGAAGAAAAAAGGTTACTTTCATTCTATTTTCCAGCAGGGGTAAAGCCCTAAACTTCATGGGGGTAGACCATTCAAGAACTGAACTTTAAAACCATGGTTGAGGCAAATACCTTAGCCTGGTTTTATGAGAATAATGAAACCTGAAATTGGAGGTACAGAAAAATGTCTCTACTCTGCTGATTCTATATACAAAGCAAAGTAGTACTATACACACTTTGTGCCAAAATTGCAGCGTGAGAGAATGTGACTATTCTATCCTGTGAGAAGTTTCGTGACATGAGTGATGCTGTATGGTACAAGAGGAACTACAAAAGACTTGTCTACTTTAGAGTCCATAAGGGTTCCAGTTCCTAATCAGAGTGACAAATCCTTATCTTCTTCCACCTTATGCCAAATCCGTGCACTGATTGTTCTGAGAACACATCAACTTATTAGTGCCAGGAACATTTAAGGCATCAAGTCCAAAACTGTCACTTATGCATCCAAATTCTTCTTCATCATTGTCACTGTCAATGTTTCTAGAAGTAACCCGGTTTTGATAACTTCGACGCTGTATACTAAGTACATTGAAGTAATAGCTCACCAAGTCTTCCCTTGTCTTACCACAGAAGTACTTGGATGCATCAGCCCAGAAGCATGCATCTAAAGATTGGGAGGCAGTTCGGACCATATGCTTAAATCTCCTTTCTTCCTCAATTGTCCAACAGAGTGACACTTCCTCTCCCATCCGATCAAATCTCCAATGATAGAAAACAGAACCCAGTTCAAGTTTCAATTTCATCCTCTTCTCAGCAATGTGAAATCTAAAACATTCAACAGAACCAGGGACTAGGCAGCCACATGATTGTGGTCTTCCTCTACCAATGGAATCCATTCCAGCTAAGGGATCATGTTCTCCAGACTCTAAGGGCCAGACACAAGTGCCTAACCATTTTGTTTCACTATCAGACACCATGCCAGTCCATTCAGGGACTTCAGCTTGGAAGGAGGGACCAACGCTAACATGTTTTTCAATGAAATCATCCTCAAATGGGTCAGCAGTCCAATTTGAAGATGGCAAGATGACGTGGGGATCCCTCTTTGGACTTGCCACTTTCTGAGAGGCTGGGCGTGGATTGCAACAAGAGCATGGGCAATTTCTTGTTGGAGTAGGAATCCTATTACCGATTCTTAGCCGCTCAGAAGAATGGTGCCCAAGAAATTCTTCATCATACATGGATGGATGCATCTTTTGTTTATCCTGCAAGGTTTAGACAATAAACAGCTGTTATAATTGAGGAGTGACATAGCTTTACATGGGATAGATATGCAGTTGCTCCTTAAAATTGAAGTTTCAATACATTGAGAACTCATTTGCTCTAACTTCTCATCTTCGGAGATAAACATTGTCTAGCAAAATTTTGTCAGCAATGATCTCACATTCACACTAAAACACAATTAGAAAATAATCATAACCACTCTATGCATGTGACATTAAGAATTTGCTAGTAGACCAGCTGCAAGGGCAAAAACCTGATGTCATCAAAGTAATAACTTGCAAATAAGTATTAACGGAAATGCCTACTACAAAGATGGAAAGGCATAAAAGTTTAAGGTGGGGAGATAGACTATAATGTATAAATTGTACCTGCAAGAGAGATTGTTCTGTGATTGAATGACTTTGCTTTTTCTGCACTAAAGCCTCCCTTGCCCTGATGACTTGGATCCAAAACTCACTGCCTTGGTGCTCTTTCCACTTGGATGGCTCTGGTATGCCACCAACTGAAGGATCATGAGGACTTTTTGCAATCTGGATCACCCAGTTCAGCATTCCTGATAAATAAAGTCTCTTTCTCTTACGGAAACCACCTTCATTCTTAGCAGTAGCTGGATTGGGAATCACATGATTGTTCTTACATACTTTTTTGTCATCATCGCTAAACATTTGGAAACTACCATTGCACATACTTTGTCTACAATTAATGAAAGGATTTAATTCATTCTCCCTAGTGTCTTTAGAAATCCACTTACCATTTTTCTCATGCTTCAATAGGGTAACTCCATTATCTGTCACCCCTTGGTACATTCCATTTGCAAGCAAACCTCTAAACTTCTTCTCTAGCTCCAATGACAAGAACCCTAAAGTCCCATCAGATTCACGCGCAGCATTCTGAGATACTCTGTCTCTGAATCCCCCTCTAAACCATTTCTCCACCTCATTCAAATACTTAAAATACACCAATTTCAATGAAGCTGAAACTTTAAGATCCAACCCTAATTCTTTTACCACCAAACCCCATAACCCATTCTTCGACACAAAATCATACCCGCCCTTCTCTCTCACCACCACGAAAAGCTTAAACAAATCCGCCAACCCACCATCACCAAGCATTGCCGGCATAGGCCTAACAGAACCCCTACTAGAAAACTCCTTTAAGAAACAAGAAAGAAACAGATAAAAAAGGGATCTTTGCTTTACCACAAGATCATCAGATTCACCAATTCTGACCTTAACAGCATGATCAATATCTGAGCAACAACCATTACTCGAACAACCATCCTCAGTTGTTATGCAACTCGAATCAGACCTATTTTCTAAGATTGAACATCCTGCCATGAACTTAGATTTATCCCCACCCCCCTTTGCAGTTTTCCACCCAAAAAAAATAAAAAATAAAAAAAAATATCGATTTTTTTTTTTTCTTCCTACCCTTCTAAGAGATCAATACAGAGTACAAACAAACAACAACAGATATCATTTATCTAGTGCAGAAAGGAGAAGTAGGAGATAGAAAGCTTGGAACTTCAGAGAAACATGGTTCTGGGCATAAGGAAGATAGAACCTTTGCCCATGTTTACAGATATTACCTCATTTTGTTGGCGGCGAATTGGGTATTGTCCCAAAGCCGGCAAACACAATACACGAGGAGTTGTGGAGATGACATGGAGGGAGACTAGACGAGCGAACGAAGATTGAGGACAACCTAGACCAAGGAAAGGATGGTGTGTTTAGGATTTTGCAAATCCTAAAAGATTGGTGCATGGTAGGTGCCAGCTTTAAATATGGCAAAATTATGATTTGATTTTGAGGTTCAGATCAATTTCACAAGAAAAAAAAAAGGTTAATGGAAATTCCATTTATCTTTAAATTTATATTATTTTTCCTGTTTGAAAATGCAATAAATCATCTTCTAGTCCAAAAAAAAAAAGGTGATTAGAGACGGGGATAAGTTTATATATATATATATTAAGAAAAAGAGTGGCAACACAAATAAGTATAATCTACATATTGAAATTATCAAAAGATTTTTAGTATCTGTGTGGATAAAAATTAATAAAAAAAAAAGAGGAAAGAGGATAACGAATGAGAGGAGAAGTGAATGAAAAGAAAAGATTGATATTAATTTTATTTGAATAG